CAGAGAAAAAGAGGAAGACCTCTAACGAGATGGATTGGCCAGGTGGCATCATTGATGGCGTCAAGTGTGGCAGCAGTAGTGAGGTTGGCCCAGGATCGGACATTGTTTCGTTCTGCTGTGCATGGGGTCGCTATGAGTCGGTTCCAACTAATGGCACCTGACAACAACAACAACAAACATGAATGCTCAAAGGTAGAGGGGGATAGCCAGTAAAAATTTGCCAGATACCAATAGGAATGTTTTTCTTTAGAAACCTTAGCACAGAACTTCCCGCTGATGTGCTGTGAACCTTCTAGTATCTGGGTGCACTGTTTACTCAAGTGTGCTGAACAATCACTTTTTAAGTGTGCTATGATGTCAAAAAGGTTGAGCAGTACTCCTCTGGCTTATTATATATAAGAGCATTGTTTCCACATTGTCATTACTATGTTGTTGTAAGTGCCCGAGTTGGTTCTGACTCATAGTGACCCTGTATAGGGTTTCTGAAGAGTGGCTGGTGAGTTAGAAGCACCATCCTCAAAGTTCAAACTAACCTTGAAGTCAAATGCTTATCTTAAGGTGCCACACCAGGACTCTATCATTACTATATTAATCTAAAATATAATTGATCAGAAGTCTCTTCTTGTTCTGAGATAAGATTTGTATTTTGTTTTATCATTATATGAAAGATGAGCTACAAACTAAAGTCCAATCATATTATTTCATGGAAGTTCTGATATCAAGTATAAGGCTATATTCTCCTCTGTCTGACCCATTTGTTGATTTGGTTTCCGGTAGTATCATTACTATGTAGGGGACAAAGGTCAGGGAACAGGTGCTCTCAAACAGAAATCAGTAAAATTTTACAAATGATGGATGAAAGGAGACACTTGTGAAATCCATGGATCCAAAGGGTAATCTGTCTGGACATGTGATGCAAAAGGACTGAGCTATTTCATAGGTTTTTCCCATGTTCTGGTGTAGTAAGGTTGGAAAACATTAAGAAGGCCACAGAGTCTCATTCAATTGCTAGAGTGCCAACAGGGTGGTAAGACACAATAGACCCCAAAAGAATAGACTGAGACAATAAGATTCACAGAGGACCACCTGCTCCCTCTGTTCCACTTATCGGTTCAAAATCAGCCTTCAGAGCCATCAGTGTATCTCTTGGGTATCTCTACCATGTCCCCAACCTGGCTTGGGACACAATGTCCAGTCAGAAGATTTATAAATTCTTTTAAATTGTTAAGTGTTCAATTTGGGTGATTGTTGTTGTGAAAAAGTGCTGTCAAGTTGGTTCAGACTCATAGCAAACCCGTACAAGGTTTCCAAGGAAGCACTGGTGGGTTTCAACCATTGGTTTTATGGTTTGCAGTCCAGTGCTTATTCTACAGTGTTACACCATGACTACAGTTTAGATAATAGATACACAGAAATTCATTATAGTATTTTTTGTTATTTTATTATGGAAATTTTCAAACATGTATAAAAATTTTGGACAAATCTGCTACAAAGACCTCTTTGAAGATGTCACTTTAAGAACTAGTGTGTGCCTGACCCAAACCATGGCACTTCAAATCACCTCCTATGCATGAGAAAGCTGGATAATGAATAAAGAGGACCAAAGAAAAATTGATGCCTTTGGATTATGGTGTTAATAAAGAATATTAAATATACTCTGGACTGACAGAAGAATGAACAAATCTGTCTTGGAAAAAGCAAAGCAACAATTCTCCTTAAGAAACTATTGTAAATTGCTCAATTTGATGAACTTGACCTGTACTTATGGATGTAGTAGTAGCAGAAGGTACCAACGGAGAGGGAAGGAGTCATCATATCAAGTATCACTGCTATCCCCTCTGTATATAAGGTAGATAGGGATGGGCAACTTAGATACTGAATACCTAAAATGAGGGGCGACAGAGGCACAAAGTGACTGGCTTACAAGTTTTCAAGAGGGAGTTTAGTTTAAGAGTGTGCAGGGGAGGGTAGAGTCCCACTAAATAGTTTTCATCTTGTCTAGATGGGTCCAGTGAAAAGAGATGAGGAATCATAAGATTCTTACGATTCAATAGTGAATAACTGTTATCATGACTAATTGCGACTGTCACAACCGTAAAGGTAGAGATTTTGTAACACAAACAGGGGTAGTTAAGCTTACAGTCCAGAAGCAGAGGACCCTACAGACATCAAGGGAGAAGAGCACAGGTGGAATGTGGGACCCTATCCAGAGAAGCAGTGACAGCAGAGATGGAGGCAGAGATGGGGCCATGGGGAGAGGGAGCAGCTGAGGACTCTAGATTCATGGAAAGAGAGAGACTGGGTGCTGGCGGCCAAGAGGCATGTTTGCAGACTTGCAGAATGTGCCCTTTGGTTGTTTAAATTGTTATATATTCCTGAGTGTTTCTGTGTATACACACATACACACACACACACACAAAATGGAAAGAATGGAATCAAATACTGTTAAATGATGCACGAAGGAGATTGTAATCATTGCAGTGAAACCATGGTGTAAAACCAATGTTCTCCCATGTAAACTATCACTCAGTTCACAATAAAAACTTTTAAAAAAGAGAATGCTCCTGAAAAGTGAGGAATGTGAGACTTTGTCTTCATATACTTTGGACATGTTATCAGGAGAGACCAATTCCTGGAAAGATATCAGGTTTGGTAAAGTAGAGGGTCAGTGCAAAAGAGTAAAACTTTCAACGATATGGATTACACAATGGCTGCAAAAATGGGCTCAAACAACAATGATTGCAAGAATGGTGCACGACTAGGCAGTGTTTTGTTCTGTTGTACACAGGATCACTGTGAGGTGGAAGCAACTTGGTGGCATCCAACAACAGTACATTAAAAGTTTTACAAATTTTTTTTTCATGAAGTTGTGAAGGGATTAGGGTGGGATGGAACACTTTTATGCAGGGGATGGTCTTGATTCAATGTAAGGATCATTTCCCTAGGGTTTGTGGCATACATCATCTTTTATCTTACAAGAGAGAAAATGGGAGAGAAGTGAACAGAGAAGGGCAAGTCAGCACCACCAAGAAAGAAGAGCTGACAGTGGAATATGTCCTTGCACTGAGAAGCCCCTAAACTTAGGGGAAGACTGACACCAACATACATGGAGCCCAGAGATGTTGAAAGGAGACAAGGACTTTCCTTCAGAGCTGACACAGACAGAAAGCTTTTTCCTTGAGCTGATGCTTAATTTGGATTTCTAGCCTCCTAAACTGAGAGAATAAATGAGTTTGTTAAAGCCATCCACTTGCATCATTTCTGTTATAGCAGCATTAGATAACAAAGACACATGCACTAATATTGGAACAATTAGTTTTGGACATTGTGACAGTTTAAGGTTATGTGTCATCTTAACTAGGCCATGATTCCCAGTAGTTTGGCAGATATTATATAACATTCTCCATTCTCTGGTCTGATGTGAGCAGCAAATCAGCTCAAAGGGGAGTGTCCTTGAGGGTATGGTCTGCCTCTAACACATATGAATGGTCTGCCAAGGCAAGCCTTCACTCCATCCTGCATTCAACATGTCATTCTCAGACTTCTGGTTATTGGATGTGAGCCAGCAGCCTGCCATCTGACCTGAAGATTTGGGGATTCATCAACTCCTGCAGCTCTGTGAGCCAGTAGCCTGCCCTTTGACCTGCCAATTTTGAGTTTCTCAGTTCCTGTAAGTATGTAAGTCAGCAGAAGCCTGTAGCCTGATACCTAATCCATGGATTTGGGACTTGCCAGCCTCCATAAATGCATGAACCATTTCCTTGAAATAAATCTTTCTTTTTCCATATATGCTATTGTTGTTAAGTGCTATAGAGTCGGTTCCAACTCATAGTGACTTATTTAGGGTTTCTGAGGAATGGCTAGTGGGTTTGAACTTCTGACCTTTAGGTTAGCAGTCCAGTGCTTATCCTACATATATGCCACTGTGAGCTTAGCAACTTCTGATAAGCTAGGTGGTGATATTAATGAATGTGATTTTTCAATATTTTTAATGAAATGTACTAACATTTGGAAGATAATCTGTCATAACCTGTGTTGTCTGGAAGAGCCAAACCACTGGGTGATACACAGAGGCAAAGAAGTGTGAAGACTTACAGAATAGGCTAAGACCACTCCTCCCCACCCTCATCTGACTCAAATCTACAAATGATGCATTATGTATAACCTACCAGACACGACTGAATCTCAGGGTAGAGTGTAACACAGAGCCCTTCAAAAAGTCATACACAGCAAGTCCTGGGGTCACGAACTTTCAACTTAGGGACAACTTGTACTTAATACTGTGTAAATTTGCCCTCACATTGAAATGACAAACCCCTACACGCAATGAATTCTTCATCACAGTCACCTTCATTTCGTACACCTGAAGCTTTTAAGTCACATTGAGCCTTTTCTTTGCACTATAAGCTTAAATAGAAACTATCTGTGCCTATTCTATAAATTCAACTTAAAGACACATGTAGGAATGGATCTCATTTGTAATTCAGGGACTGCCTTTACAACATATAGATATATATATATTAAAAACAAAACACAACAATTATGAACAGATACATCCCAAATTATTAACAATGGTTACATCTAGAGAATGAGATTGGGTAGGTATAAGAAATTCACTTTTTAAATTTTTGTCATTTTTTATTTGGTCTTGTTATAATGTGGTTTTACTTTTGTAATTAAATACATTTTACTTATTACATGGTTTTCCTTATAACCCTCTCTGCAATTTTATTCTGCTAAGTAACTATTTTAGGCTCACCCTGCTAATTCTACATGCCCAACTAAATACTGAAAACCATGATTTGTTTAGACAATTTCTGACCTCTCCACTTCTCTGAAAATATCAGTCGATTTCAAGTTAAAGCAATCTAAAAGGAAAAGGAAAATGTATATCCAATCTTACCTATAGATTCCTCCAACTTTTGAGAGGTGAGTGCACTATAAACTTGAAATTCCAAAGCAAATAATGCTCCCGTCAGGGGGATTGGTGTCTTCCAGCTATAGGAAACGTTTCAATGGTCTCTGTATATAGCAGTCATTCTTCTGTTGTTTCATCATATGTGGCAGGAAATTCTTTGAAAAGCAGAAATAGAAAGGATATCAAAATGCTCACTTATTTTAGAGGACCAGAGTGGATAAACATTAAGTGTTCACCAAACCTATGTGTCACACTAGTACATACGCATACACAAGGCAATCACAGATTTCCCCAGTCTTTAAAATCAGACATTTGAGCATTTTTCAACAGTCAAGTAACTTAAAGAGTGTGAATAAAAGTTCTAAAATTCTGTTCTCACTGTGGAATTCCAAACCCAAAAAGACAAAACTGACCCTGGATGACAGACATGAACGCTTCTTGTCTGCTCTGAGGACCTAGGGAAAAGCAGAAACTTGTCTACTGCCTACTTCTTTTAGCAATGCATCAACTCTGGCTCTATCTCCTAATGAGCAGGTCCAAGTCTCACAAGAAAAAGATAACACCAGGAAGACAAAGTAGACGTTGAGAGCAGCAAGTGGCATGAGCAGGAACAGGGCTTCATGCCAAATGCATAACTATTGCTAGTTTTCAATCTGGTGACTTCATTTTGAGTCTCTTGACTCCAGCTATCATATGTCAAAGTTGCTTTGTCAACTTCTTCTCTGTACAATAAATATACGCTTTCCCTTTTCCCAGTGGAAAAGTCCTGAACAGGCAACTTAAATCTGAATTCTGGGCCTCTGTGCCAAAAATTCTACAAAGGCTTTCTAACTGGAGGCCAGATGTGCTTCACCATTACCTCAAACCACATGTCCCAAACTGGATTTGCTCCAATCCCCACCCACTGCCTCCTTCCTCCTGATATCCTGTCTTCTTTATCTGATCACATCACCCTGCCAGTTGCCCAGTCATAGAATCTCTTCATCATCTTTAATATCCTTCTTCCTGTCGTCCTCATAAATTCCACATGCTATACTGCCAGGCATTATGATGCCATTCTGTCAATCTGGCATGTAGCTCCTTGGAAAATAACCTTTATTTATCCTTCAAGGCCCACTGCAAATTACTTTCCACATGATGTAGCGTCCAACTCTTCTACTTTATCTAGCATTTACTCTACCCCACAGTATACCAGTGATTAAGGAAGACTGTAGAAGGATTGATGCTTTTGAGTTATGGTGTTGGCAGAGTATATTAAAAGTACCATGGACTGCCAAAAGACCAGTGACAGAAGTATAGACAGAATGCTCCTTGCAAGCCAGGACAGCCAGGCTTCTTCTCTCCTACTTTGGACATATAGTCAGGAAGGACCAGTCCCCAGAGAAGGATATCATGTTTGGTAAGGCTGGAGGTCAAAGAAAAAGAGGAAGACCCCCAGCAAGATGGACTGACACAGTGGCAACAGCAATGGGCTCAAATGTAGCAATGATTGTAAGGTTGGTGCAGGACTGTTGTGCATTTGAGTCAGTACTGACTCAACAACAGCAACAGTATACCATTATTTACAACACTGCAGTGTGATGGATCACTTTCATTGGCCTTTCTTGCTATGATCTTACAACTCCTACAAAATGATTGGGTGGAACTATGCAAATAAGGTATGTGTGGTCCACCAAGGGGATCAGACAGCATGCTAACAATGCAAATAATCGTACCCTTTGTGGGGATGTTGTTGTTGGGAATGGGACCATGCAAATAAATGTATGGAACTCTGATGAGGTGACTGGTCAGTTTTGCCATCCTACTAGACTTAAAATGAGCCATTCTAGAAGTGGAAAGAAGGACTTCATATCACCAGGAAGAAGAGACCAGAGCGAGGTGTATTCTTTGGACTGGGGTCTCTGCACTGAGAACCTCCTAGACCCAGGAAACAGAGAGAGAAGGAGCCGTAAAACTGAAGACAGCGTAAGAATGAGAAGCAGTAGTAGAGAAACAGCAGCAGCACAACAGGAAGCTGGTGTGAGATGGCACAGTGGGTTCTTCATGGCCCCTGGGGCTAGATGGCTACAGAGGGTGTGCTGACCTATAAAACAAGAGAGATGAGCAACTTTGGCGAGGAGGCTTCCTAGATGAGTAGGATGCCCAAGCAGGACAAGGCCAGGCTGAAGACTGAGGGGCTGAGAGGCTGACAACCAAATAGAGGGCTGCTTGCAGAGAAGAATTTGTCCTGGTTGAAGAACTATATTCTGAGTAGTTCCTGATCCTGAATTATAATCTTTTACTTTCTTAATAAACCCCATAACATGAGTTCTGTGTAATGAATGATCAAATCCAGCAGAAAAGAGAGCTGTGGAAGGGGTGGCAGGTGTCAAAATTGGTAAAAAGTTTGGAGAATAGAGGCCATGTCTGACCTCCACCTTATAGGAACCAACCATGGACAAATGCTGATTCTTCTCCCCTTCATGAAGTTAGACGAGGTGGTCCAATATCTCAGTACCATTTTTACAAGTAGTCAAACCTCGCTATCCACATGCACGTGGCTCTCCCATTATGCTCAAAGATCTTCATGAGCCCACTGCTGCTGCCATTGTGCCAATATATCTTGTTGGGTGTCTTCTTTTTCACTGACCTTCCACTTTACCAAGCATGACGTCCTTCCTTCTCCAGGGACGAATCCCTCCTGATAATATGTCTGAAGGATGAGAGATGAAGTCTTGCCATTCTGGCTTCTAAGGAGCATTCTGGCTGTACTTTTTCCAATAACAGATTTGTTTGTTCTTGCAGTCCACAGTACTTTTAATACTCGTCTCCACAATTCAAATGCATCAATTCTTCTATGGTCTTCCTTATTCATTGTTCAACTTTCACATATATATGAGGCTATTAGAAATATCATGGCTTGGGTTGGGTGCACCTTAGTCCTCAAACTGACATTTTTGCTCTTGGAACTTAAAGAAGCCTTTTGCAGAAATCTGCCTACCGCAATATGTCGTTTGATTTCTTGACTGCTGCTTCCGTGAGTATTGATAGTGGATCCAAACAAAATGAAGTTCTCGACAACTTCAATCTTTTCTCCATTTATCATGATGCTATTTATTTGTTCAGTGGTAGGGATTTTTACCACCATTTCTTTACATTGAGGCATAACCCATACTGAAGGCTGTTGTCTTTAATCTTTATACAAGTTTTATAGTTAGTGTTGTTAAGTACCGTTGACTCGGTTTCAACCCATAGCGACTCTGTATAGGGTTTCTAAGGCGCAGCTGGTGAGCTTGAACTGCCAACTTTGTGGTCCAAACTGACTTTGAAGTCCAGTGCATTAACCCACAATGCCACACTGGGACTCCAAAGTTTTATGGTAGAAGTAAGCAAATTTTTCTCTGTAAATATTTTAGGCTTTGCATGGCTCTGATACAACTGCTCAACTCTGCTTTTGTGGAGAGAAAGCAGTCACAGATAAGAAGCAAACCAATGATTGTGGCTATATTCCAATAAAAACTTAATTTATAGATATGGAAATTGAATTAATATAATTTTCATATATTATGAAATATTAATATTTTGTTTTTCCCAACCACTTAAAAAATCTTTAAAGCAGGTGCAGCTATTGGCCTCTCCATGTGTGGGAGAAAGAAGAGTGATAAGAATTGAAGAGGCTTGGAATCAATTAGTTCAATAGACTAATGGAACATGTGAACTTAGTCTCCATGACTCTGAGAGCAGAAGAGCTACATGGTGCCTGGCTATCACTACCAACTGCTCTGAAAGAAATCACATTAGAGGGTTCTGGATAGAGTGGGAATAAATGTGAAACAGAACTCCAAATTATTTAATAACAACAATAAAAAAAGACTGGGTTTACTGGTCAGAAAGAGACTGGAGGAACCTGAGACTATGGCCCTCAACCACCCTTCAGGTCTGGAAAGGAACTCATCCTTGTGGCCCAATTTCCAGCTAAGCAGTAGATAGATTTATAGTTGTTGTTGTTAAGTGCCATTGAGTCAGTTCCAACCCATAGTGACCCAGTATGGGGCTTCCGAGGAGCGGCTGGTGATTTGGAACCACCAACCATGCGGCTACTCTGTAACTCTTTATTGCATGTCTCCCCTAGACTATGAATTAAGTTCAGAGCGGAAACCAGGCAAATTCATCTCTAAGTCCTAACACTGAGCACCGGACTGGGCACAAGAGTAAAGCCTGACTGGATGAATGAAAACACCTGAAATTATTTCTTTCCTTAAGCTCTGTTTTAGATGGACTCTTAAAAGAAAATATAGTGTGGTCCAGGTCACTGCCAGTGCCTGACCCATGTGATCCAAGTGATGGACAATAGATTTTAGGAGCAAAGTAAAAGAGAGCTAGGCTGGTTAACCTGGGGAAGAAAAGAGGAGTATTCTGGCTCTAAGTACACAAAAGGTTCTCCTCAGAAAATCTTGATCTCATCTTCCCTTTATAAGCAGAAGGAACTTTTCCATATTAATGGAAAATGAATCAAAAATAAATGGCTTAAAAAAATGGCTTAAATTAAGGCTAGAGAGATTTAAACTGGAAAGAAGAAACAAATTAGGCACCACCACTATGCCAGAGACTGCTATCAGGGTAAGTAAAAAAGTACTGCTACTAACTAGGGTTCCAATTCACACATGCACAGGTTTATTCCAAGGAAAATGTTCTAAGCTAAACATGCCTCTGAGATCAGTGGATGGCTGCAGACAAGTTCTCTCAGTAACACATCTGTCTTAGTTTCATTAGGGCGCCTTCCAAAAGAGGACCAATCAAAACAGTGACTTGAGGGGATTTGTGGGCTATTTCAACTCAGGGCAAAGAGATCAGCTCAGAAGCTATGAAGACTGGTTTTGGGAGCTCCAAAGAGGTAATCTAGATAGATTTTCTCAAAGGACACAAGACAAACACAGGGACTTACTAGATAGAAGGTATAAGAAAACTGCATTGGTGAGAAACACATCAGGAAAATTGTGCCAAGGAATTTTTTTCTACCATGACAATGTACCTACTCATCATTCTTTGAGGGCAGCAAGAGCTGTTCTACACACCCACCCCACAGCCCTGATCTTGCCCTTTCAGACTTCTAGTTTCTCAACCTCAAAGAATATTGAGAAGGGACACAAT